TTTTTTTGTTTAAACATTATTATTTATGTATGTTGAGAAGTTGGAATATTTTTAAAAATCTATATTATCTTTTGGAATATGATAAAATCATTTCAAATCTTGTAAATTCATAAGATACAAATTCGTTAAAATTTATATTACAAAATCTTTATTAATAAAACTTTTTAAAATAGATCTTAAAAAGTCGTTAGATTCCTACAATTTTTTTTGAAATAAATCTTAAAAAATAAAAATCATCAAATTCCTACAAAGTTTTAAAATCAATAAAAAAAATTATGCTAAAAAAAGGTATGAAATCTCAATTTAATACACTCCCCTAAACATCATCTATACTTAATTTTGGAATGTTATCTAATACCTAACCCAAAAGTGGAGGTGTACATGTGTATCATATATGGTGTTACTACAAAAAAGTTGTCATATAGTGACACACACCTTATAGTGGTACTATACATGTCACTAAAAATTACTTTTATCCACACAATAACTATAATATATGTTGGTATATTATTAAAAAGTGTGAGTATAAGTTATAGTGACACACAAAATATGTTGTTAAATGTCATTCAAAATTAACATTAAAATTGTGTGTAACTATATACATATATTGTACCTATAGTGACACTTTTTGTATATCACTATATGTAATATCATCTGAAAAAATTATCATAAAAGGGATAAGACGAGTTGGTCCAACTTATTATTAGGTTTAAAATAAATTTTAAAGTCAAATTTTTTATAATTAATAATACTATTTTTTGATAAAAAAAATAGAAATGAATCTTTCCTATTATATATTTTTGGAACCTATGACAATTGATGTGAGAACCAAACTCCAATGACTTGTCTGTCATATTCAATTATCCACATTTCATATAATATTGTGTTAAAATATATATATCAAATAGTTATTTTAAACAATCATCCACAATTGATATTGTGAGACCCCTTTTCTTTTCTTTTCCCGGACCCTCACCCACTCTCACTTGCACTCTCTTTTACACTTGGTGGTTGATCCTTTTTCCTCTCAAGCCTTAACCTTGTTCAATTCCCTTCACTCTAGCTGAAGCCGTGAGTGATCTTGGAGACCCTTCGTTGCAAGCTTAAAGCCATTCGTAGCTAACCGTGTGCGGAGTTCTCTTCCTCTTCTTCTCTTTCGTTTTCTTCTTTCCGGAGCTCAGAGTTCTTGAATCGAGGTAAGGGAAGCTAGAGTCTCGCTGTGTTTGGCTGTAAATGAGTCCAGAAACTCATTTGTTGTTTGATGATTGATGGTTTTCGAGCTGAGATTGTTGAAAAATGGGATTTTGGGATTTTCGGGATTTTGAAGAAATTTTGGGGGTTTTGATGATTTGTGTTTGCATGTTTGAAATGAGGCGTTTTTATTGATGTTTGATGAAAGAGGGAACTTTTGGATGGTTTTCATGTTGGTTTTCTGACTGTTTTTGCAGGATTTGGTTAAGTTTTTCAAAATTGGAGTGTTGCTGCTGACCCTCGCGCTGGGCGCTGTTCTTCGCGTCGAGCGCGTGACCACCTGGAGGCTCCTTTTAGGCAAGCCCGCCGGGCACAAAGGTGTATGTGTCGGGCGAGCTTGAGAAGGAGAGCCTCTAGATGGCCCATGCCGGGCGTGACCTGGACTACGTTGGGCGCGATATCAGTTGTGCTATGTTTTGGGTTTTTTGGTGTCGCGCTGGGCGCCACCATTGTCGCGCTGGGCACGGAGGCTCATTGGGAGTCTCTGCCAGAGGGGCGCTGGGCGCAATACGAATTGCGCCGGGCGCGAGACCTTGGTAGGTCTCTGCCTTACCCACGCTGGGCGCGGGCTAGGCCACGCTGGGCGCGTGAGACTCTTTGGAGTCTCTGCCTGGACGTGCGTTGGGCGCAAAGCTGAATTGCGCCAGGCGCGTGAGAGCCTTGGGCTCTCTGGCTGGGTCACGCCGGGCGCGAGCACTCTTGTGCCGGGCGCGCTGGCCCCTGGTGCTCTCTGGTCGTGCCACGCCGAGCGCAACCATGAGTGCGCCGGGCGCGTATGAGGATGAGGTGTTATATGCTGAAATTTGCTGAAAATGTTGCTTTATGCTGAGATGATCTGAAACCAATGAATATGCTGTGCTGTTTAGATGAAAATGTTGATGTATGATGTTAAGCTGAAATAGATGTATATAGCTGTGCTGAGCTGGGCTGTGATTGATGATTTTTTTTTATGTTGAATGATAGTAAGTTGTGTTGAGTACTACTTGGCTGTGCTGTATGCTGATTTGCTGTGTTGTGCTGTGAGCTGTGTTAGCAGAGTTGTGTGCTGTTATAGCCGTTATGTCGGTGCTGTTATTAGCTACTATTGTGGTGTTGTTATAGCCGCTATATCGATGCTGTTATTAGCCACTATTGTGGTGCTGTTATAGCCGCTATGTCGGTGCTGTTATTAGCCACTATTGTGGTGTTGTTATTGCTACTAAGCAGTGCTGATATTGTTGAATGTTGTGGTGTAATATAAGTTGTGCTGGTGTGCTGATAGTTGTAGCTGTTTTCTATCATATTGCCATATATGTATATTGATTTCTTTTCACTAGCTTACCCTTTGTTGTCTCCATGATGTTTGGACTGCAATGATCATACTATGTATGTGAGCAGAGCAGGGATAGGTTGGTGGCTGATGGTGAGTCTATAGCTGGCAGACGGAGTTGATCTTCTAGGATCTTTTGATGTTTAACTACTTAGTGTAGTAGTCGTTGTTGTATTTTGTACACTTTAACTCTATCCAGACTTGGATCATGTATATGTATATATTCTAGACCCTATATGTGTACACTTGTTCCTTTCTATGTGATGTTTCTAGTGTGTTGTGCCGGGTGTAGTGACCAATTGGATCGTTACAAATATTGCATCATGAATGATATTATAGGTACTCAAAATGTATCATATTCATTCGATAATATATTACGTTGATATAATAGGTACTTAAAAGAAGTCATATATATTCAACTATCACATTTGATATTATATTCAACTATCCACATTTTATTCATTATGAATTCCTTTTCATATTACAATATATTATAATTATAATGTCTTATGGACATAAAAAAAATGTAACAACACAAGTTAATAAATATAAAAATAAAATCATAGTATTATATATTATTTTATTTTACATAAAAATTAATTTAATAAAATATAATTTTAAAATATTAATTAACTTTTATTTCTCATGTAATTTCACTTATTTATCGATTAAAAGTTTTACTATGTTTTTTTCATTCTCACCGATTCTCACCCTTTGTCAAGCTTAGTGTCAGAATTTTTCAATGGCTATTTTTCTTGTACTCGAAACTGGTAGCATGAACAGTAGAATCAGTAATTATATTAGACATGTAATTGGTCGGGTATAAAATAAATTTAAAATAGTACAATTTATCAAATATATTTAATATAAATATTTTTAAATTTTTTTTTAATAAAAACCGAGTCATGCGGTACAATTTGTGACCCACCGGTTCAACCTTTGACCCACTGAACTAGTACCCTAACCGATTTGATGACCGGTCCGATTTTTAAAACTATGATTACATACTCAAAAATAAAATCAAAGATTTATCTTGATCATCAATTTTATAAAAATCTTATTTCACTTATTAACTTTTATTTTTCTTCTAACAATGCATTTTATCTTAATATACATTTTTATATTTTACATGCAAAAATAGACATATAAGTTATCAAGATGACACCAGAACACAAATAAAACAATAATAATTGATATGCAAAAAATACACTATTATTTTGGGATAAAGTATACTATTATTTTGGTATAAAATATAGTCCTTTAAATTTATGATAAATTTATTTTTGTCCTTCAAATTTAAAATTATTGTTTTTAATCCTTATAATTTCAAAAAATTATTTTAGTTATTATATTCAAATTTTGTTAAAAAATTTATCAAATATTATTATATAAAATCTACTTATTGGTGTCACTGTTAGTGAAAATATTGCATTAAATCTAATTGATATTGTATAACCATCATAATTTGTCACTTTTAGATATATTATTGGTGATCTGAGAGACTAAAATAAAATTTTTAAAAAATTTAGAGACTAAAAATAATTTTAAATTTAAGAGATTAAAAACAAATTTATCTTAAATTTAAGAGATTAGAAACATATTTAAACCTAAAGTATATATATGTATCTTTTATGTGAGATAATTATTTTGAGTTAAATAATATTATTTTGTAATAAATGGTTCTTATTATTCAAGTATTTAACACAATATCATAAAAACTTAAACATCATATCACTAGTCAAGTTAAAACAATATTATGTCACTCAACAATTGTACTTAGATATTAAAAGATAAAACAATATAATAATTCACGTTAAATTTAAAAATAATTGTTAAAAACTGATATTCATGTATTGTCATTGAAATAAAGATCAATAGAAAGAGTAATTAATAAACGAAAAATCTTGACTCTTGTATTAAAATTCAATAAGTAATTAACAAATGAAGAATATTGAATTTTATATTAAAATTCAATTTGTAAATAATAAATGACTGACCTTGACTTTGATTTCTACTAAAATCCAATTATTGTTGTTATTATGTTGAGATTACATATTTTCAACATTTTAACATAAAATTAAATATTATTAAATAAAAAATGACAAAGTCAATCTTTGTAATTAAATTTCAAATTATAATTTTCAAATCAATAAATAATGTAATTAAGTGCGTGAAGGGACTAAAGTGAGACATGTGAGGAATGAATCTTAACCATTAATTTAAATAAATGATTAAAATTAAAATTAGTCGAAACGATCTTGACCATACATGGTAGCACGGTGTAGGTTAACTTCTCCACCCTTGGTAATCTTAATGGGGTCATGATAGCATGGTCTATAAGTAACAAAAGAATTCATATGAATTAAACTTTTATTTGTATTAGTTAATTTCCTTTCATTTTGTTATATTTCTTACATGAGAACTCATTGTGACAAGTGAAATGGCTTCAATTCAACCTTGCTCGAGTTCGGGATATAACAGAGATTCGCAAATGGAGGAGAAGAAAACAAATAAAATGTTGAATTGTGAATCAGCGAAGCGAACGCGAATGAGGAAGCAGAAACAATTAGAGAATTTAAATATTGAAGTCAACAAATTGCAAGGTGCGAACAAGAAGCTGGGTGAGTGCATAAAGGCCAAGGAAGAAGCATACATTGAGAGCGAAGCTGCTAACAACATCTTGAGGGCTCAAACGAAGGAATTGGCTGATCGACTCTGCTTTTTGAACTCAATCACTCAAGTTGTTAAAGACAACAATCATTTTTCTATTGAGATTTCAAGGATTAAGCCCTTGTAGTGGTAGATTTCTCGCCCAACAAAACCTATTGTGCTTTCTTCAAACAAATTTGCGTTAATCATTTTTTTTCTATCTTGTTATTCGTGGATTTTCGTAATTTAATTGAATGTTGTTACAAATTTAAACAATAATTTATCAATGACAACCATAAAAAAAATATAATAATTTATCAATGACAAAATTTCAATATACAAAATTGATATTGAAAAAACAATTACACATATATGTCACTACAAGAATTTTAGCTATTATGGACAGAAAAAATCCATGGACGAAGCCCAAAATTTTGACAAACATAAATCTATTGATAATAAGCTTGTAGATAATTATTATTGAAAGTTTTTTTTTCATTTGTCAATAATTATCGATAAATTTGTTCCATAATAAATATTATAAGAGTTAATTATCTATACACTGTCAGTATAAAGTTATTTTACACTGACAACCAATCATATTTTTTAATAGTGACATGTCATTTGTTTATTTAATCAAATTAAAATAAAAAAGACACTATTAAAAGATATAATTGGTTGTCAGTGTAAAAAAACTTTACACTGACAATATATAGATGATTAACTCATACTATAATTGTCCACACACACACACACATATATATATATATATTGATCGGTAAATTAGTCACAAAAGTTACTAATGCATAAATTTGTGAAAAGTTATCAAGATTTATTTGAAGGAAGTTAACCATAGATAAATACGTGGATAACTAATTAACGAATATTTGTAATGTTAATTATAAATAAATTTGTCCTAAATAAAAATGAATATTTCTCAATTCACTCACAAATATGTTTGTAGGTAATAATTAAATTTGTCAAAATGAATTTTAATTCATATATTAACTTGACTTATATTAGGATTGGATAAAAAAATTCTTAATAATTCATCTAATCCACTTACATCTTCCATATCAACTCAATGCACCATTTTTCTAGAAGAAGATAAAGTTGATATTAAACAACATGAAATTGTTATAGATTTATTTACTTAAACGTTCAATAGAATTTAATATTGATAGATTATTACACCAATGACAAGAATTATTATTATTTTTGGATTATTTAAAATTATATTTTTTAAAATTAAATTTAATATGACACTTAATTTGATAATTTTTTATTTTAGATTAGATGTTATTTTATATTAGAGTTTATTTTGATTTAAAATTTATTTAAAATTATATATTTTTTTAAAATTAGGTGAATTAGTTGGTTGGTCTGTCTAGCCCACTAGTCTCTGAAGAATCATGTTGAATTATAAAATTCTAAACATTAAAATTGATCACCTAAAAAATAATTAAGATCGATCGATCTAAACGGATCAAACCAATCTATTTTGACAGTCATAATAATAATTACCTCCAAAATACATTTATAAAAAATAAGAAAATATGCAAAAATAAATATTACAATATATTTGATGACTTATATTTACTGTTTTTTTTTAGTAACTATGATATGCACTTATGCTATCTTTGATACAGGAGAAATAGCGAGAAAATAAAGATAAGAGTTTTGTTTGGTGCAAAATTTGTTAGAAAAAAAAAAGAGAGTTTTATGTCTTCTTTTTTCTTCACAAATCAGTACAAAAGTAAACGGTATAAACTAAAAATATATTTACACATAATCAAATAACATGTTATGTTACTCATGCGAAAAGTCTTTTATTTATTCGAATAAATTAAATTTTATTTGATTACATTTTCGAAAATATTTGAATACAATTTTCATTCGAATGATTCGAATTTCATTCAAATATAAATTGTTTCATTCGAACATTTATATAATTTTTTAAATGATTAGAATAAAAAAATTAATTAATGAAAAAAATTAATTAATAAAAAATATTTTTTGTTTTTTATTTAATTCTTCCCCCCCCCCCTTTATTTATTTTATTTTTTGTTAATCTTTTTTATATATTTATTTTTATTTTATTAAACACACATAATATTATTTATCACTTATTTCTGTTCGATCAAATAATCAAATTTTTATTTATTCTATTTTATCTATTTTTAATTACTTATGTCTCTCTTTTATATTTTTTCCATTCTATTTCTTTCTTGTTTCTTTCTTTTATGTCAAACAAACCCATCCTTAATGTGACATGTTAATTATAGGAATGTCCTTAGCAAATTTTTATCTACTTATAGAATAATTTGATGAAAAATAAATTGATGGATAAAAACTATTTACAGAACCAATTCGATAATTTATCAATAGAAAAATGAGAAAATATAAAATCGTTTGAAAATTGAATAAAATAAATTAAGACTTATTTATTTTTAAATTTTATTTAATTAAAACCTATTATATTTTTTCTCTATCTTGCCAAACTTTTTATTTATCAAAAGTTCTCAATACTTTAACTTCTTAAGGTCTTAAATTCGATCCGTTTTATTCTTACAGTATCAGTTCCGAAGAAAAAAAAAAAAAAACTGGATTCTGAATTAAATTTTTATAATTTTTTAACCACCGCGTGGAAGAGAAGAGGTTAGGTCATAGGAGGATTTGTGGTGGAACAAAAGTGTCGTCATTGCATACGCCAGCAATGACACGGCCATTTCATTTCACGCCCTCAAAATTATTGATTGAAATTTCCCTTTTAATATTCATTCCCTCACAATCCTTCTTCTCTCTTTTTCTATAAAAGCTAACCTCCCCTTCGTTTATAACCTTCTTTACCATACCCCTTCTCACATCCCTTTTTTTCTCTCCCCACCCAAACTATTTTCCCCCATTTTTTATTGTCCAGCTTCAGAAAATTAGGCCTCTTAGAAACGGATCTGTTTCAGATCTAGGGTTCTCCGCCCCAAATCACGAGCCCATTGAGTTTCATGTGTGGGATGAAAGCATAGGAACTGCAATGTTTTCCGAATTTTTATGACACGCACCTTCTCCATGCGTCGAATCCGTATGCTGCACTCCTTCTCCGTCGTGTTCCTCTACTGGTTCTACGTTTTCTCATGAACTTCCTCTCGATTCCGTCATTAATTAGATCTCCCTAGTTAATTAATCTCTATTATTCCAGTAATTAATTAGATCTGAAACTCCTATTTCCGTTAGTTTTTGTATCTCTTTCATTTCGTTCTGTTTTCAAATCAAATCTCCTTCTCGGAAATGGCTTCGATCCAACGCTCTGCGAGTTCCGGATCCGAAGGCGGAGATCCGCAAATCGACGAGAGGAAGCGGAAGAGGATGCTGTCGAACCGTGAATCCGCGCGCCGCTCGCGGATGAGGAAGCAGAAGCAGTTGGAGGATCTGACCGATGAGATTAGCGGATTGCGAGGCGCGAACAAGAAGCTCGCGGAGAACATAAAGGCCAAGGAAGAAGCATGCGTTGAGACCGAAGCTGCGAACAGCATTCTGAGGGCTCAGACGATGGAACTGGCCGATCGATTGCGCTTCTTGAACTCGATCCTTGAGATCGCTGAAGAGGTCGGCGGTTTATCCGTTGAGATTCCTGAGATTCCAGATCCTCTGCTTCGGCCGTGGCAGATTCCGCACCCGGATCCGTTTTATTCTTACAGTATCAGTTCCGAAGAAAAAAAAAAAAAAACTGGATTCTGAATTAAATTTTTATAATTTTTTAACCACCGCGTGGAAGAGAAGAGGTTAGGTCATAGGAGGATTTGTGGTGGAACAAAAGTGTCGTCATTGCATACGCCAGCAATGACACGGCCATTTCATTTCACGCCCTCAAAATTATTGATTGAAATTTCCCTTTTAATATTCATTCCCTCACAATCCTTCTTCTCTCTTTTTCTATAAAAGCTAACCTCCCCTTCGTTTATAACCTTCTTTACCATACCCCTTCTCACATCCCTTTTTTTCTCTCCCCACCCAAACTATTTTCCCCCATTTTTTATTGTCCAGCTTCAGAAAATTAGGCCTCTTAGAAACGGATCTGTTTCAGATCTAGGGTTCTCCGCCCCAAATCACGAGCCCATTGAGTTTCATGTGTGGGATGAAAGCATAGGAACTGCAATGTTTTCCGAATTTTTATGACACGCACCTTCTCCATGCGTCGAATCCGTATGCTGCACTCCTTCTCCGTCGTGTTCCTCTACTGGTTCTACGTTTTCTCATGAACTTCCTCTCGATTCCGTCATTAATTAGATCTCCCTAGTTAATTAATCTCTATTATTCCAGTAATTAATTAGATCTGAAACTCCTATTTCCGTTAGTTTTTGTATCTCTTTCATTTCGTTCTGTTTTCAAATCAAATCTCCTTCTCGGAAATGGCTTCGATCCAACGCTCTGCGAGTTCCGGATCCGAAGGCGGAGATCCGCAAATCGACGAGAGGAAGCGGAAGAGGATGCTGTCGAACCGTGAATCCGCGCGCCGCTCGCGGATGAGGAAGCAGAAGCAGTTGGAGGATCTGACCGATGAGATTAGCGGATTGCGAGGCGCGAACAAGAAGCTCGCGGAGAACATAAAGGCCAAGGAAGAAGCATGCGTTGAGACCGAAGCTGCGAACAGCATTCTGAGGGCTCAGACGATGGAACTGGCCGATCGATTGCGCTTCTTGAACTCGATCCTTGAGATCGCTGAAGAGGTCGGCGGTTTATCCGTTGAGATTCCTGAGATTCCAGATCCTCTGCTTCGGCCGTGGCAGATTCCGCACCCGACGCAACCGATTATGGCCACCGCGAACATGATTCTGCGTTGATGCTTTTGTTTTAGTTAATTAATTAGGGTTATCTGTATTAGTGTTATCTGTCTGTGTTCAAATCGTGTGGTCCGCACTGCATCGGATTCCTGAGGTACAGGGTGTTGATTGCTGGCAGTGGCGGCTTCCCTTTTCGGGACTTGTAATCATTGCTAATGCTGTCTGTTTTTATTTTACATTTGAAAGTAATCGTTCGTGGTTATCCTAAGCATTTGCGCATCTAATCCTACTCTTCATATTTCTTTCTTAAAATATAATTTATAATTATGTCTTCTAAAAGATAATGAAAAATATTGCTACGCATGTATGTTGTGTAGAGACTTTAATAAAGAGTTAATTGTAATAAGGAAATATAAAAATTGAGCTGTTCATTAAACGTTTTTATTATTATGTATTATTATGTGACAATACGCTGATAATGTACATTTTTCATACTAACAGTAAATAAGCTTTTAATTTAATTGTTTAAGAAATTATGAGCGTGTTTGAGTTGGAGTCTGGACGTGAAAAATCACGAAGTAAAAAAAAATATTAGCTTCTTCGTAAATGAATATATAAACGTGAAGAAAAAATAAAGTTACGTTTGAAAATGAAAATCAAACACGCACCGTTGAAATGTGATGCATATAAATTTAACTTCCATATATCTTGATTTAGTAAAAAAATTTGCATTATTTTTCTAAAGGTTTAATTGCTTTTATTTTAGTTTTTGTAGTTTTATGAATTTTTTTAAAAAAATTATTAAATGTTTGGACATGTCATTTTTTATCTTTTATTATGTTTTGTACATTTTAGTTTTTATTTTTTTTAGTAAGGAACGACAAATACTAAAAATAAAATGTTATTACTTTTAGTTTATCTAAAAGATTCAACTTAAATAATTATTTATTTATTTTTATATATAAGATTTAGCTTATATTAAAAAAATTAATTAAAATGTGTGATCTTAATTTAGTAAAATATATTAATTATAATTTTTTTTAGAAAATATATATTCTAATTAGTTAAAAAAATATATAAATATTAATTAAGAGACAAATAATATAAAATATGAATTTTAATTAGTTATATGATATATATAAGTATTAATTAAAAAAAAGTAATAAAAGAGTAATTTAAGTATATGTGCGTACGTGTGATAAATTTATGATTATCAATTAAATTTTTTTTTAATTTTTTTAATGAATTGAATAATTAGATCTTATATTATGATTATCAATTAAATTAATTTTTATATTTTTTTTAATGAATTGAATAATTAGATCTTATATAAAAACAATGATAATGATTGTGAGACTAAGTAAAACAATGTAATAGTTGTAATTAAATTTCTCTAAATTTCATGAGAATATGATAAGGTTGTATATTTCTTTAACAATTCATATTTTGAAAGATTTATTTAGAAAGAATTTTAACTGGACAGTGGCATGAAATTGTTTTGTTCAATAATTTATGAAATTATCTATCTATATATATATATATAAATAATAATAATAATAATAATAATAATAATAATAAAAGTAATAATTCAAGTAATCTATAAGTTTTAATAGTATTTTATTTATTTATAGACTTCACGTTTTTCTTTTTATTGTGAAATTTTATGGGTGCAAATATTATCCAATGAATTGATTACTTTGAAATTTAATTTAAGAATGAAAAATAGATTGAAAAACATAAGAGATTAAGAATTTTTTTAAAAATATTTCTGTTGATGAAAAATAATTAAAAATACTTAATAAATTATCAAATCACTTTAAGTAACAACTTTCAATATAATTGATATATCGATTATTTATAACAATTGATGAATTAAATCATTTTCCTCGCATCAAATATTTCATAATAATTTATTATGAAATTCTTATTAAATAATTTTTCCTATTTATATACTTTATATTTTTTATTATAGAAATTATACAAGAACATTTATTACATGATGAAGCTTAGAGCATAATAATGATTTATTCCAAAATTTAATTAGGACAACTATATCCATGCTACTAAATAACTGTGTTAAATTACTCACTTCAAAAAATTAAAGATAGATGAGTAGATCTCTTTTTCTAGTTTTTAAGGGTTGCTTCCATAAATAATTTTTTTTTTATCTTCAACTTTTGATTTCTAATTCAATATAAAATACAACTATTGTTTATAATTAATTAAGCAACCTTAAATTAGGGAAGATTAACGCTGTCCATTTGGACAAATGCAGGCCACAATTTTGCCATTGCAAGTCGCGGATTATCAGACGACTTATCCAAAACTTGTTGGGACAATAACATGGATTAGAGATTTGACTAGGCCTTTATTTTATTAGTAATTACTAAATTACGAGCTTTTAATTAATATACCAGTACAATGAAAATTATCTCTGCATTTTATTATTTTATCCAATGATTTGATATTTATAATACCTTTAAAATATTTTTAATATGATTATATATTGTTAAATTTTGCTCAAATAAGTTTAATTTTAAAAAAATATTGTAGAATATATGATTAATTAAATATTTTATTATTTATAATTATAATTTTAATTTCTTTAATTGATATTATACATTAATTATATTATTTTTAAATCACCATTTAAATTAAATTTATTAAATAATTTTTGGTATTTGAAAATTTTAGATTTTAAAATTAAACTTTCTATATTTTGTTCTTCAATTTCTTTCTATTTTATTATTATTAAGATAATTTTACATAATAATTTTTATTTTATAAATATACTTTTTATTGTATGTAATAACTTATTTATATAAATTTGATTTTTTAAGAAAAATACCAAATAATTTATAAATTAAAATAAATTTTTAACTAAAAATGAATTTTAAAAAATAACTTCTATTTTTTTTTTAACTTTAACTCGAAAGTTATTTTTAAGTGAAAAAAAGCATAAATACCCTTACACTCATCAGAATCACATGTTAATTTCAGCTTAATTAATATTGACATTAAATAATATTACTTTAACAATATTTCGATTAATTATAAATATATTATTAATTAAATATTAAATTTTCAATTAATCGGACACCATGTGAAATATGTAGCATTATTCGGAGTTTTATCGAGATCTCAATTTCAATCCCATTCAAATAGAAAGGTAATTTCTTGAGTTACTCATGATTTCAAGACCCGTCATTTCAATCCCATTCCAATGATTTATTTGTTTCCAAATTTCTAATTATTGTGTTTGTTTCTAATTATTGTCTTCGTGACATGATTTTCGTAAGTTAAATTACAAGTTTAGTTCCCTTGGACGATACTATTTTCATTTTAATTTTTTTTACCAACAAATATTAATAATTAATAAATTGATAAATTTTATTAGTAGAGAAATTTAAACTCACTTTTTCTTTATCACTTAAACCTTGTGTCTTTTTCCACACCATTTATACTATCTTATAATTCTTATTTTCATTTTATTTTCACTTAAACAATTTTTAGCATTTTTTAAGTATATAAATCAAATAAAATATTATTATAAGTAGGAACTAATATGTAAATACATTTTTTTTATATGTGAGAATTAAACTGGATCAGTATTAAAAAATTTATAATGACTCTCATCCACTGCTTAACAAACTGAATTATACTCTTTGATCCAGATGCATTTTAAGTAAAGATTACAATGCAAAGATTTTCATATAATGGTTAAAACAAAACAAAAAGCTAGAAGAACTAAACTTTTAATTTGACTATTTTAGTAATTCACTCGAAGCTGGTTCCATCATAATTATTATAAAGGACTAGTCCGGAGATGTCGTAGAGGGAAGGTCTTATATTACTTGTATGAAGTGTCAAATATACCTTTGATGATATTAATGTGTTGCACGACTAAGCTTATAGTTTCTTCCTAAAATAATTTGTGTCAATGACGAGTTGGATGGCGGATTTATTTAGATAAGCATAAGCGGGAATGCATATCACAAGCAATTATTTTATTTTGAAAATAAGAGATAATAAACCAATTATATAGCATGAGTCAATCTAATCTAAAATGTTTTTCTGATAATCCGGATAAGAATGGGATAGATAATATAAAAGAACAAAATAAATTAAAAAAAAATAATACATTATAAGGGAGCATGATAAGTATAATAATATAGATTATATAAATAAATTTATTATCATAAAAGATGGAAATAGTAATGGTAGTTCTAACGAAAAAGAGTGAGATTGCGATAATCAATGGTAAGAGTAAAAAAGTCAATTTATGTGTTAGTAAAGTTGATTTATATGCAAGTTTAGAAGAGATTTAGAGTTTATTTTATGCTGAAAATAAAGAGTTTTTTTTAGTAGATAAACTTTGAAAAAAATACTTAAAAAGATATATATTAAAATATAGAAGTTAAAAATCATTAATAAAGATAAATATAAGAATTAAAAATATTTATTTTAAATTATAAAAATAAAAAGCAAATTATAATAATTAAAAATATATTTCAACCAATAATGTATGTATTTATATATTTTTATATATATTTATTTTTTTAGTTTTCATTTTTAATTTTTTTTAATATCATTCTTTTAGGTTTGATGTAGTAAATGTTTAAGGTTTAAAATTTCTCAACAATTAATATCACAAGTGAAAGTAAAAAAAATCATGAAATGTCGATGAACCTAATTTAGAATAAATAAAATAAAATTAATAAAATTGACATGGAAAAATAAAATCAAATGCTTTATTATATTAATACAAACAAGACAACATAATAAAAAAAAATACTGAAAACTAAAATAATAAACATTTACAAATATAAAAACTTAAAAATAAAATAAGTAAGAAATAAGTATTAAAAATATTTTAATCTAAATTGTATTTGACAAACTCGAGGTAGTAATGATTACAATGAATTTAGGTAGTTATGATAGTGATAGCTTGTACGATATGATTGTCATAGTAGTAACTTATAGGAATAAAGAAAATAAATTGAGTTATTCAAAGTGCAAGCATAAGGAAAAAGAAGAATAAAATATTATCCTCCTATCTTATATATCTTGGGATACCTTTCTAATTAACAAGATACAAATGAATTAACAGAATAAGAATATTGATTAATCAAATTTCATATATTATAAATTAGAAAGAGTTGTTATTCATAATTGAGAGATTTTTAATAAATTTAAATCAATGATAAAAGGTATATGTAACGACCAGATATATCACTACACTTGTTACTGAACAACCATTGTAGTAGAAGGTTAAACAACATACATTATAATTAAAGTTTATAATACAACTAATAAATGATATCAATATATACATAATATATACAAAATATTGTATCAATTGCAAAATAAACATAAATGTCGATCAATATCTATAGAAAAATTCACTACATAAGAGTAGTTTACAACCAAAAAGTAGCCATCTCCAATGTGATTCTCCTCCAATTATGCAATCATCCTGCTAATCCTGCCCTGCTCATATACCAAGTATGATCATCGCAGTTTCAACCACAAGGAAAATACAGGGTAAGCTGGTGAAAAGAATTCAAGATAAAAGTTGATAAAACATCATCATAATAGAATAATTCAACTTTGAACAGAACAACATCACCATCATAACAACTTAACATCTCAGAACATGTTCATCACATCAACATACATACATTTACTCATCTAATGTGTTGTTACACATATTTACTACAAAGATCTCCTACATCTTAATGTGAGCAATTTAAGTGACTTGACCCTATCAAGATTGTTAATGTTGTAAAGATGTATGATGTATATGTTGTGTAAGTTAATATGTTGTATTAGTTGTGTGTTGTTAAAACTAATAAGTTGAATGATAAAAGATGATGAAGTTGTTAAGTTGATAAATTATAGATATGTGGGTTAGATATATATCTTAGTTATGATACAAAGAAACTAAAAGAGAGTTAAAGATGTGATGTTTTCGAACTTCATATCTCATTGTGTGGATATATGTTGTGGTGCTTCGAGCACCTTGCTAAACCCTTCAGTAAGTAAGTTCACCTCTAAACGGGTAAGTTATTTTTTAGTTGTCTCTTCTAAGTTCTATGTGGTATTGTAAGATGTTATATGTGTTGATATGTAGTAAGTTGAGTAAATCCTACATCATAAATTAGCTTAAGAAACTAAAATAACTTACAACTTTGTAACATACTCAACTTATTACATATCAACACATAACATCTTACAATACCACTTATTCAACTTATTCATCATTCATCAACTGTAAAACAACTTTAACAATCATACAATTTGCACTTGATGCCACTCACTGGGCGCTCGATGTTATTGAGGCACTACAACAAAATTGTCATATAGTGACATACATCCTATAGTGACACTATACATGTCACTAAAAATTACTTTTACCCACACAATAAATACAATATATGTTGGTATATTATAAAAAAGTGTGGGTATAGACTATAGTGACACACAAAATATGTTGTTAAATCTTTTTCAAAATCAACACTAAAATTGTGTGTAACTATATGTCAAATAGACATATACCTACATATATTGTACCTATAGTGACACTTTTTGTATGTCACTACATGTAACATTTCTTGTAGTGAGGTAGGGAGTTTCTTGTCTCACTCATGTGAAGCGTCACACCAGTCACGCTCGACGTAATTGAGACAAAGAGTGCTCCACAATCTCACACCTAGAATGGCAACACCCATGCCTGACCTTGATCATGATCAGGTAGAGGGTTCTTTGCCTGACTCACGTTCGACGCCACACATTTTAGCACCTAATGTGAATCCAGGCAGAAACAAGCTTCTCATTTCACGCCTGACGTGATTTCAATCTGAGAAGAGTCTCTCTTCTCAAGCCTGGTGCATTAATCCTGCACCCAGTGTGAATGAGACAAAGATCTCTCTTTTAGAACAACGTCTAATGCGATATCAGATTTTACAGTAGTGTAGAACCCAATTTCTTGAAAATTAGCAAATCCCACAAAACGCAACACAATAAACAACATTTATACAACATACACAACATGATTTCATCATCAAAAACAACATGTAACAATTAGAAGTCAAGAATGAACTCAATCTCTCCCACTTCTCTTCAAGCCACAAAAGCTCTCTCAAATTCATCATGTTTATCATCCAATCCTCTTATCAACTTAAGAATCAACTCATGCTCAACATTTCAACCTCACAACGCACTCAAGAATTCAAAACACAGCTTCCCTTACCTCTTGGAGAAAATATGCAAGGAAGAGAAGAAGAGAAGCGACTTTGCACACCACTTGCTTAAAGTTTCCAATCCTAGAGCTCGAACTGCTTCACCTTTTATGATCAACTGAGCAATGGCAGAGAAGGAAGGGTTCAAGTGAAAAAAAATGAAGAAAGGGAGAAAGAAATAAAGAAAGAAATAAGTAATCCTGTCTCTAGTTTCTCTATAGAGTTCTTAAGATTGAGTTATGAGCTTCCTTTAAAATATTTTCCTTCTATATCTTTCATGAATCGGTTCCACTTATCTCTGGTCTAACCTTCCAGAGATCAATGTGCCCTCAGGGTCTTCCAACCCTAGAGTTTGAACAACAACTGTCAATTCAAATAACAAGATTATAAAATAATAATGTTATAATGCTATAATATAACAAGCACACCTTAAATAACAATGATAGTTATAATAATGATCTATTTTAGATAAGAATTAGGAATAACAAGTTATCATATTAAAGATGTCCCAAACACTTGTGAGATTAATGTGTCACACCTAAATTAACTTCTTTTTCATTTTTTTTAATAATAATACTAATTTTTATTTAAAAAAAAGAAATTTAATAAACTTTTAAATATAGTAAAATATATTTATCAAATTAATAATTAAGGTGCCAAATCTAAAATAGCTCCTTTACTCTTTTAAGAAATAATAATAATAATAACTTCTTTAAAAAAAAATGAGAGAATTCTCATAATGTCAAGATATTTCTATAAGTGTTCCAAATTCATCTTTTTGGATTAATTAATCATCATATCTAAGTTATATCTTTGTTTTAAAAATTTACCTGTACTTATATGGATTTGTTTTGATCATAATTATATATGTTATTTAAATATATTTGAATGAGTCAAAATATATCTATTTATACTTTAAAACAATAAATAAAAATTAGTTCATCTTATAAGTCAAAGATAAATAAAATAAAACTTAATTAAATTTAAAATAACATATAATCATTTAGATTTAGATTTATGAAAGAAAATTATGAATTCGACAAATATTTCATATTAATAATATAATTATTTAAATATTAAATTAAAAGTAACAGTAAAAAGGTCTTCAATATTTTAGTTTCAATTATTTTACTATCATTCTGTCCCTTATTTTTCTGAAAAAAAATGTATAAATTAATCCAAAATTTCCATTTGCTAAAAAAATAAGATTATGTCCCAAGAAAATAAAAGGAACAAAAGGGCATATGTCATTGAGCAACAAGATTCATCAATATATAATGTCATCCTAAATTAATACTTGAAAAGACATTGAACAATCAGATCCATAGATAGTTGTCATGTTATTTATTAATTAGTTATTTTCCTACATGTCTTTTTTTTTTTTAATGTCTATTTGAGATACAGTAGACACTCAATACAGGCATGCTTTTTTTTAATGATTGATCTAATCATGTTAGGAAAAGCAAACCATTTCCACTTAGACCTAGTCGCATTGATTACAATATTACATAGTTGTCATATCGAAACATGTTGACTGAGATGGTGTAAAAAAAACATCATGAGTGAGATAATAATTTTGTGAAATCCATTTGCAATAGGTTCCTCTCTACCTTGTAACTTAAAAGAAAAATATTGAATCACCCTATATAATAATGCATATATACATATATAGCAAATTATATATAGAAATATTAACTTACATTAAAGGACAAAGTTACATTTTTAAAAGGATTGTTAAAATGAGTCGTTTAACTCAAACTATACGTTATGATAGATCAAAGTTAAAAAAGCAGGTTGAACCAATTTTTTTTATTTATATTAACCATATTTAAAAGAAAAATTAACCCACTTTACCTTTTCTTTAACATAAATTTATATAATTTTATAAATAAAAAACTTGAGCCAATTAAATTATGATAAATTTTTTATTAGTTTTTTTCATGGTTCAATTTAACCTATTTGACCTATCATATCAAGTCAAATTAATTTTATTTTTTGAGTTTCTAAATAAAGAATTTAGCTTAGTTTATTTATGCCTAACACATTACATAATTAAATTAGGTCAATTTTGATAACCCATAATTTTAAAAGAAGTTACATAGTTTTTATATTTTTTGTGCATAATTATTTTAATTAATATTATTATTTTCATTTCAAAAGTTAAAATGTCATCAAAGCAATTTTCATATTAAGTGTTCTTACCAAATTTAATAGGTGTGTGATGAGGTCTTTGTATTCCAATGTTCATGATAGTGAATATCCCTGCAAAAATACTTCGACGTTCAAGTTAGAAGAGACTTTAGGATAAGTGTAAAAATTAAGTTAAAATGATATTTGTTGTCTCATTTATAAGTAATTAATCTTATCTATAAATTTAAATATAATGTTGTATATATATCTTAAAGATATATATTCCAATGATTGTGTGGTGAGATTATTCTTGATAACGTGATCCTGGATTCTGAAAAATATGTGAAGCAAAGTACTCTCATAGCTATTGTGAATGAACCGCTTATTGTGACATTGATGGACTAATTAAAAGCCTAGTATAGACAAACTTGTTCTGAATTTGATTCATCTAAACTGATAAAAAAAAAGCAACTTAAATTGATTGAACTAAATGATACATTAAGTAATATATAAATCATTTGATTATGTCCTAATTTTTTTTCTTTCAATTTTAGTGAATATGAGATGTTAATAGCAATTTGATCATTAATTTTAGAAAAATTAAGATGTTAATAACAAAAAAAAAAAAAATTTAAGAGCCCATTTTAACAACATTTCATATCAACATATATATTAAACCTAAATTATATATTAATATATTTTATACATTAAAACTGTAGTAATAAAAAAAATGGAGAGGGTGTCAACTAATTGAGCCAGAAGTTTCAGTTTTGTTCGATAGTTTCCTTTTTGTATTAATAATTGTTAATAACTGAGGGGACAAAATTAGTAAACCAAAAGAAGCAGAAGGGCAACACAATAACATCAAATCCAAATCGTCCTTTTCTTTCTTTATCTGTTTAACTTCTTCTCTTCGGTTTACACAATTGCCACATCTTAAATTCGAATAAAGAAAGAAAGAAAGAAAAAGAATCTAACCTTTCCCATTCGAAACAATCGATCGTCGTGACGAATATAAATTGAAAGAAAATTAGGGTTACGGTTTGTATTATCTTCACTCAAAAAAGAAAGGAAAAGAAAAAGTAAGAAGAAGAACCGTTCTTTATGATGCAATCCCCTGCAGCGTCGGTCCACGACAACAGCATGAAGGTCCACTACTCAGTCGCGTCTCGGAGCTCCCTTCCGCTACGATGCCGACGTGGCGGTGGAGGAGGCCCTCGACTGCTTCCACTTCGTGGCAGAGATCGATAGAATCGGCGATCAAGATCGTGGTGAGGGACGGCGGCTCGATGGAGGTCTCACTGGATCAGTTCGAACTCTACATGTGAAGGTTCCGGTTGCCGAGATCCAGGCGGCCGGAGCTCGCGAGCACGGTGGTTGTCAATGGCGAGCTTATTGTCACGGTGCCTAAGGAGCACGAGGAAGAGGATAGTGATGGTGATAGAGGTATGGTAGTGGACTCGTGCTTGTACAGTGAAAAATAAATGAGAGAGTGAGTCAGTGATTCTTTTGGTAATGCCTTGTTACCTTCCAAACTTGGCCATAACATGTTTGATTCAAATTCATATTATTTTTTAAATTAGTTTCTCTCAATATTATTGTTAAATAATAATAAAAAATCAGAGAAAATTTTATTAATGTCAATGACAATTTTCATAATTAGGTATAATTTAGGCATTTTTCTTTTTTCAATTTTTATTTAGTGTGTGCGTTCTTTGGTTTTCTTGGTAGAGTTAGAAATTCTGTTATGAAATTTATTTTTTCTTGTTAGAGTCGGTAAGTCTATAGAGTATATTATATTTATAAGAACTCATTTTTAAAACATTAATTCTCTTATATATTTTACTATTTTAATTTTTTTAATTTTGTGTCAATGTTAAATAAAATTTATATATTGTATCAAAGTCGTGTTGTGTCCTATGGTTGATTTTATTATATTGTAGTTGTGCTACATGTGGTAATCATATTTTCTTATCCACTAATTTGTCTTACATATTTAATAAAATCAAACTAATCCAAGTTATACTTAATTTAATGAAACTCAACATGTTCATATGAGGGTAAATTAGCTACAATGTAACATACCCATCTTAATTAGAATTATTAATTTGAGTACCTATGTGATGAATTATTAATTTTTTAGGTTAAGCATTTAAAAAAAAAATAAGTTACAAAATTGGGTTTAATTTACACATTTATAAAAAAATTCATTGCTAAAAGTAGAGTTTTCATCATATAAAATGTTTTTTTTCATATAGCAACAATGATATTGAAAGAAACTAATTTCAAAGATAACCTAAAATCCGATTGACAAATTAAGGCCAAGTTTGTAACAAGACATTAACAAAAGAATCAATGATTCACCTACTCACCCATTTATTTATCTTTGTATAAGGACAAGTCTCCTACTTGTACCTTTGTCACCGTCCTTATCCTCTTTCTCATGTTCCTTTGGCATGGCCGCAATGAGCTCGCCATCAACAAACACTGCACTCACAAGCTTCGACCGCAAAGCATTTGAATAGCGATCCCAAGTGTCTGAGCCTCCAACATCAGGTTCCTCCCATCACGCTGAATTGGATAAAGATGTTGCGCTTTCGCCAACGGGAGCCGGGTCATAAGGGGTGGGAGAACCAATTTATAAAATAAATAAATATTAAATTTTATATAAATGTGCTTTTTTTTTTTTAATAATAATTCAATAACGTATAATTGAAATTATATTTGCATAAAGTTAATCTAAACATTTTTTTTCTTCAAAGAATCAAGATTGCAAATATCAATCATTGGTTTTACATGTCACTAGGAATCTTTTTAATTTTATAATAAAATTGATATCTTTGTTAACTGCATTTTTTTATTATTAAAAAGTTAACTAATTAATTCCTAAAAATATACTTTTTTTTAGAGCCTAAAAATATACTAAATTAGAATAAATCGGGTTACATATTAATTTATCTTTTACACCTAAAATATAACAAAAAGGAAAATAAAGTGTATATATAGGTAGAACAAAAACAAAATAAATATTTATTTAATTTTCTTAAAATTTAACAAACGTTAATCAGTATCTTTGATTTATCAAATTAATATTAAGAAAAATTATTAACATTTCTGTAATAAAAATTTTAAAAATAAAATATTATATACAAATAAATAACATTTAAACGTAATTTTTTATATACATAATATCAAAATAAAAATTACTTAACATATAAAGATTTAGCAATTAAGAACAAAGCAGGACAAGATGTCTCATGTAGGTTCGTTCGTGATAGGGTGAATTTCATATTATTATTGATGATATAGAGAATTGCACCATCAAGATTAGTTTTGTGATGATGATCAAAAGTGCCTTTTCTATGATAAAGAAATTATTCTTCTTCTTTATTGTTTTCTTCTTTCTTTTTTGTGTGAAAATAATTGAAACCCTAATTTTCTTTCAATTTGCAAAAAAAGTATGATTCTTTATTTATTTATTTTCCCGTTATAAAAAAAATGAGCAAAATTGGGATATGATAATTGTGTGAGTTGAGGAGATGAAGAATAAATAAAGTAATTGGATAGATATTACATGTTTTTGCAGGTGTTCTAACGAAAAGAATGACGATTCTTTATACTTCAGCGTCGACGGTGGAAACATTTGTAAAGACATTTTAACTCTTAAATTAGAGAGAAGTTTAGATTTAGAATTTAAATACCTAATATCTTTAAATAATTGTTTAATTCTTATCATTTAGTCAAAGATTTAATTACTTGAAGAAAATAATATCTTATCTATTAAGTAAGTAAAGATAGTATTTTTAAGTAGATAAACATGTAAATATTTTGTTAATCACTTAAGATTTTTTGTTAAACCGTAACTAACAAAGGTTGGATAAATCATTTATCTTGTAGCATAATATTTTTATTTTTTAACTTTTTTTTTTGAAAATAATAATATTTAATTAATAGATAAAAATGATAAATAAAAATTAAATTGAATAAGTAATTAAAAGAATTTTTATAAATCTTT